CTCTCTCTCTCTCTCTCTCTCTCTCTCTCTCTCTCTCTCTCTCTCTCTCTCTCTCTCTCTCTCTCTCTCTCTCTCTTTCTCTCTCTCTCTTCCTCCGTCTCTCTTCCTCTCTGTCTCTCTCCCTCCCCCTCTCTCTCTCTCTCTCTGTCTCTCTTTCTCTCGCCATCACCACTCACCTGGAAAGTCCTGCCATGCTGGGTTTGCGTAGACCGTCAGAATGCCCACACATGTACGCGATCTGTGGTCGGGATTCGCGAGGTGGCGATTACATTGGGTTCAGTCGCCGCGAACGAGCAGTGTCGTGTGATCTAACAGGGATTTCTCTCCGTGAGTCCGATGTGTGATCGGGGTGATGTTCGAGGCCATTTGATCGTGACGTTTGATTGGGCCGTGTGATGAAGGCGGAGATCGCCTCTCTGTCGCGCTCTCTCTCTCTCGCTATCTATTTATCTCTCTTTCTGTCTTTTATCTCGTTCGTTTTTCTGCGCTTGTCTGTGTCGCTCGCACAAAGTTTGCGAACGTAAATGACAAGCGCAGACAAACGAACGAGACAGAACGAACATCGTCGTGTTCCACCGCCTCTAGTTCCATTGGCGACCACTCGCCCCGATCAGATGGCACACTCACATGTCCACGTGGCGGGTCCTGAACAAGCGTGGGCACGCTGATGGATGCGGGGCTCTATGCGGCAATCAGCATGGCCACACATGATCAGGACTTGACACGTGGACATGTGTGTCGTCGTGTTCAACTACCATCTTCGTCCCCGTTGTTAGTTTGTCTTCAGCGCCTCTATTTCGTTCGTCTTATGCGATGGCCTGCTTCTTTCCCGAACTTACCTCGGGGTGCGTTTGCGGATCTCGTTCCATTCACGACCACTCGCCCCGATCAGCGCGGCCACGCATGTTCAGGACTTGACATGTGAACGTCTAAGTGTGCCATCTGATCGGGGCGAGATGAAGGAGTTTCGGGAGCAAGAATGCATGCGTTTCATTGGCGATCACTCGCCCCAATCAGACGGCACACTCTGACGTCCACGTGTCACGTCCTGAACAAGCGTGGCCACGCTGATGGATGCGGTGCTCTATGCGACAATAGAATGTTGTCGAATTGAGCCCCACATCCATCAGCGTGGCCACGCATGTTCAGGAGCTGACACGCGGACGTGCGAGTGTGCCATGTGATCGGGGCGAGTGGTCACCAACGAAACGGGACCCGCAAATGCAGCCCAAGAATGTTGTGACATGCCCTTCGAGATTGTGCCGTCACTTCAGATGTTATCTTGAAGTGTTACTCGCTTGTCGTCAATTTCTTGTCTCTCTCACGAATTGCGATATAAGGATTTTAGTCATATCTTGTCGAGCACGAGAACATGGTTTCTCACGAAACGTGTCTCTTCTGGATTGCACATGGACTTTCTTCTCGATGAATTAATTTTTATTGCGTTCGGTTTGTTTATTTGTTTTCCCGCGTAAGTCGCGTCGTGCAGTTCGCTCGGCGTTTGGTTCTGTATCCATAAATTGTCCTCCACATTCGTCGAATCTTTCACATTTTTCGTCACTCTTCCTCTCGCCGACACGAACAATTTTTTCTTATATTTCTTTTGCGCAGTTTTATTACTGGGTCACATTGCGAATTCCGAAATGGACAACAACATCCGCAGGATCTGCACATGGAGAGACAGAGAGATAAAGACAGGCTCTCTCGCTGCCCATGCTCTATCGATCTTAGTATCCCGTCCATGTCCGTGCGTGTTTTCTGCCTTTCTCCAATCTTCGTGTATCGCAGACAGTCGCTCTACCGATCTTAGGTTGGTCCCCCCTGAGTGCAATCACAGATCAGTAATCCGTAGACTGCTATGACAGATCCGAAGACACAGGACGTGAACGTGAATTCAAATCTTTAAACCCTATCAAACCTCGCGTCAGCCGAACGCCCCGAGGAACCCTTCCGCTGACGTGGACACAGGACAAGACACGGAGTGATCAGATGCTCATAGGGTATTGTCGACAGCGACATGTTTGACCAACCAGGAGGACGACAGCCCACCCTTTTCCATACCATTTTGTGGTGGCGCAACAACTAACGTATATGAGCCACCCTTGTCAATTTCGGTTGCATCCGAGCCACAACCCACTAAAACTCACGGGGCGACCACTAACCGAGGGACCTTGGCGAAGTTCGGATTAATCCGAACAACACCGACGATAAATTTGGATTTGTCACATGCTCAGACGGTATTTACGACATCGCACGTTCTGATAAACTCGAAATCACACGGTGTCAACAGACCGTGCCGTCCATCCACCGGTCCCCGTCTCGGATTAATCCGAACCACACCTCCGACAGGATAGGGTCCACCCTATGCTCACTGGTCATTGAGGAAAACACGCCATGCCGATGGCCTCCTCTTGTGGTCGGCCATTTCTGTCTCGCATTGTGCTAATTCGGATGCATCTGAGTCACAACGCCAGACTTTTGACTCTGCCCAGTTCGGATGTGTCTGAACTCCCCCGCTGTCTTCGTCTTCGACCATTCGCTCTACGAGAGGCAGACTGATGATGAAGATTAACCATGCCTCGAATTCATGCAACTAAAACGAGTCGAGATGGTGACGCTCGGGTGGAAGAAAGACGAGCTCGAAACTTGTGCTGCGACTACAGCAAACGTGTCTGTTGTTTGGATTGGGCGAGCAACAACCAACTAGAACTCACGAGGACGATGACATCCCCCGTGATGACGCACAAATTATACTGACACACTACGACAATCGCGGGGAGGTCCGGTGTGTGGTGGGGCAACAACAAACCGAAGCGCCTCGGCAAAGTCGGATTAATCTGAACCACACCGATGGCTTGTTCGGATTTACAACATGCGCAGAGGGTATTGACGACGTTGCACGGTCTGACAAACTTGTGCGACGAAAGCACACGGTGTCGGCGCAGCCTGTCGTGGTCGCACATATGGGGACAACCCCTGTCGAAATCGGATAAATCCGAGCCACACCCGTCTTAAACGCTCAAGGACGAAGACACACCGTGCGAAATTCGGGTGGACCCAAGGAAAGCTGGGGAATAACGAAAGCTTGGTCGGCTGGATGGGCATCAACAGACCGTGGGGTCCATTCGCCGATCCCCGTCTCGGATTAATCCGAGCCACATTTGCGAAGTTCAGGTTCAACCCAACCAAACCTCAAGCAGGATAGGGTTAACCCAGTGCTCACAGGTCGGTGACGAAAACACGTGCTGTGGATGGTGCCCTCTTGTGGACGACCGTCTCTAGACCGCGCTGTTCGAATTCAGATACATCTGAGTCACAACCGTTACCGACTCAGAAGGACGAGAAAACTCGAGTTCGGTTTGGTCCGGGCCGCAAGGGGTGCTCCACACCACTTTGGAGCTTAGATGCATCCGAACTACACCGGCGAACTTTACAATCTGCTTGTCGACTTCGGATGACACCGTATCACCACGGGGTGCTCGTCTTTGTCTGTTGTGTCAGCGTTCAAGTGCCTTCTTGCTAGGTATTGCTTTTCCCGGTGCAGGTGCCTATGCGACTTCGCTTTTTCGACTGCGCCTGCTTCGGATGTATCCGATCTATCCCGCGGTCTTCGTTTTCGACCGTTCGTTCTCTTAAGGGCATTATGACGAGGATGGCTCACGATGCCTCGGATTCATCCAGAATGTGCACGCGTGGGGACCACTGTCGTCGAACTATAACTAAACTTCGTTGTTTTGGGGTCCGGGTGACCGATAACAGAATACGTACTGTGGGTCGTGGTTGATGTTGGGACGTGCTGACTGTTCTGAGTGCATGTGGGTTCATTTCCTCCGTGTGTTTCAGGGAATGGCTACACACGGACGAAGCCGCTCCGCTGGTGGTTCCGCCCCGCATGGAGAGGAGCGTCGAGGGACGACGTCGTCGCCAGCATGGGAAACGAGTCGGGGAGGTGGTGGTGGGGAGGAAGAACGACAGGTTCAAAACTTGTGGTGCGACTACAACAAACGTGTCTGGTATTTGGACAGGGTGAGCCAGGACGGCTCCGACCCGTTGCAACCACCGTGCGGTCCGCTCTTGTTCGTCGCAGTTCGCGCCGACAGAACGCGTCTCGCAGGGTCCATCGTCCAGTGGGTCGACGTTGGCGAATACAATTTCAAGTTTACGTTGAAGAAGCATTACAAAAGTGATGGTTCCGTCGATGACATCACAAAAGGATGCATAGTTGCCAGGAGGATGTTCGGCGGGTACGGCCGGCGTGCGATGTCTTTGTCGTACTTTGTCCCGCTAGCGCTGGGGCACGACGAGGCCGTTCACGTGACAGACTTCCTCGAGGTTTGGGCGAGATTTGGTACCTCTGTCAGTGCCGTGGACGTCAGACCTGGGACATCGATCAGTGGTCCTGTTGGGTTCGCGGGAGGAGAGTGCTCTGAAAGGGGGATGGGAGGTCATGATGGCCTGCCAGCTACGCCTCCTGATCAAGAGGTGGGCATGTCAGACGACTTGGAGGACGACCATCCGCGTGCTCCTTCGAAACCGGGCTTGCATGGATCTCGCCACCAAGGTTTGCTTGGGGAGTCGCCGCCACGTGGAGGCGGCGATGGCGAACGGTTGCGACAGGGCTCAGAATCGATGACTCCTCGTGGTCTGGTCGAAAGGATTGGTTTGTTCGTTCGTGGCATGCAGGTGGTCGGGGTTTCGCCTGGAGATCGCGCGGGTGGTCCGCAGGTTCGAGAGGTGCGTGGGTCAGATGAGACGACTTGTCGGGCCCGACCTGCGCCTACGCAACTGCAGACGGAGTTGAGCCTGGAACGAGAAGCAAGTGGGAACGTCGCCGGTGAAGAGGAGGTGTCCGAGTAGGGGCTGTTCCGTGAGAGATCGGCTAAAAAGACTCAGTCGGGAGGAAAGCGCAACTTGCCAGATGAGGAAGAGTGAGAGGGAGTAGGTGCTCTGAAAAGGCAGAGAAAGGTAGGAGGGAGTGCTCGGACGCCAACATCACGAAAGGGCGGTTCCGTTGAGAAGAGGAAAAGGGTTGGAGGTGGGGATGAAACGTCAGAAGACTGTCGACACAACGAAGAACCGGTGAGTCTTCTGGAAAACGGTCGAAATCATCGAGGGGGAAGAAAGCAGATGAGGGCGACAGCAGGGAGGGAGATGACGACGTGGACATTAACCTCAACGCCTTCAACCTCGACAATGCGTTCTTCCTCGAGATGCAGACAGGGGTGCAGAAGGATGTCGTGTTGCACATCCATCCCGAAAGAATATTAGCTTTTCCAGACTGGGAAGACGCGTACAACCACCGACCCTTGGACGAGTTCCTTATTGATACCATCGCGTCGGCTATGATCGACTGCTACGAACGTAAAGACATGAGATACACGAAGCCCATTTTCATTCTCGCTCTGATCTTCGTGCCTCCAGAGAACAGCGAGCCTGCTGTGCGCGTGCTGCCTGCTGACTTCGACAGCTCACTGCCGGAGAAATACTGGTATTATCCTGTGTGTGGACAGCATAACGCGAGGGCGGCAATGAAGGTGAAAGACCATCCCGTGTTTAAGTACTGCAACTTTTGTAAATAGCCGTTCAGACCGATCTACTTCCTTGACGATGAGTTCGACGGCTACGCCCATGTCAGCTGCGAAGACGACATGAAAGACAAGAAGAATCCACCGCGCTTGCAGGTTTTGTCTATGCGGGACATTCGCAATATCTGGAAAATTAAGGGCAAACCGCGTGTGGTGCTCGGAATGCGAAGAAGCAAAAGGACGAGGTGCGAAAGTGGGTGCAGTTAATGGCATTGGCTATGAAGAAGACACCGTACACGCCTTTGTGGAACCTGTCAACGAAAGAAAAGAAAAAAAAACGAATGGGCTCAGAAACTTCGATACTACCTCCCGCTGGCCATGGCAGATGACTCCGTCTTCGCTTGGGGAGAGAAGTTCTACGAGGAGTGGTGAAAAGGGAAACTCCTTGTTTCCGACGGCCGGCGTTGAACTGAAAAGCCGCCCACCCATGAGGAGGTGGCCAAGCCAGGACTCTCCACTGTGACTGACAGCCAGGGGCTGAAGAAACACGTCTGGTACGCGAAGGTGGACGACCCGTCGTTGAAAATGGGCAAGGGGAAGCCAAAGAAAGGCGCGGAGGAGAAAACTTTATACGTCCAAGTTCCTGAGCCGGATGTCCACTGCTGGAAGGAATTGGTGGACTTGACGGACCGCCAGAAGAAAAGGTTGTTGAACGGCGTCTTGAACCTTAACGTCGTGTGGGTTCAAACGAGAAGCAAGAAGTTGGCCGAGTAGGGGAAGTTCAGTGTCAAGGAGATGGTCGACATAATAAAAATTGACCGGATTATGCTGAGGCTGTGGCACTACGTGGAGTTCGAGTACGAGGAAATGGATAAGCGGGAGTGGAATGCCAACTCCACGTTCTTCAGGTCAAAGAGGCAACTGTTCGAAGAGTTCAAGGACAAAGGTCTCGACGACAAGCTTTGAAACGAGAGCAGGAAATTTTTCACGGACTCCACGTACGTTAACAAGTGCCCTCAGTTTCTCGGGTGTCAACACGACAACAACATCAAGAGAACGGCGGCCCTCATCAACGACCAGCATTTCCCGGCGGAGTGGAACCGTGTCGTCCTTTCGGTGATCACGGGAGATCGCGCCAAAGGTAAAAAAAGCCATCGGGGCGTTGATGAATGCATCAACATTATGTGGACGAGGACAAGCGCCTTGATGATGCTGGCCCAGTTTAACGTCGACCCATTGAGTGCCATAGATCATAAGGAGGCGCTGGGAAAACTAGGGCATCAACTACGCTCCCACAATTGCGTGCTCGACTTGTGTGAAACTGTGGACCGTGCGCAATGGGACTCTGGGGCATTCGCGTCTCTGAGTGAGTTGTTGGGCGTCGTTTGTCACGACTACTGAACATTGGTAGTATTCGTTCCTTGCCTGTGGAACCTCTCCTTTATGACATGTTTGTCTGCGCTTGGGGCTACCCGATGCTACACGGGGAAGTGGGTTCGGAAGACGGCGGTGAAGAAGACGCATCAGTTCGGAAACAGCATCTGGGAGGAGCCGGATGTGATGCACATCCTTTTCAAAGGTGAAGATCCTCGGCTACTAACTCACCCGGTGTACGAGGGAGCTGTTGCTGAAGACGACGCCGCTGCTCTCCGTAGGAAACAGAAAGTGACACCCACCGATGTGGAGGAGAAGTCTTTCAAGTCCTTGACTTTCGCGGACATCGGAAACCTCACCCAGACGGGGGCTCTGTACAAGGACAGCGAGCGAAATCCGAATCAGTTATGCAATCAGCTTCTTTTCTTCTGTGGTGTGGCGGATGCCGTGCTGTTCTTGGGCAAGCCGCACGCGCAGGTGGTGTGGAGTCTTTTTCAGCAGGGAAGGCACATTTTGGCCGTGGATGGGGACACAACGTAGCTCGAATACACCGTGCAGTATGTCACCCATGAAGTGTCGTCCAAGGCTTACCCATGCGATTTCCACCAAGTCGTGGTCGAGCTCGTTTATGACCCAAACAAGGACATGTTCTTCAAGTTGACTCCGAAGGGCGCCAGGTCTACTCCTTCCTTTACGGCGAACAACCAAGGTTGAGATTTGACCCGCGGTACGTGGTGCGGAAGGAAGTCGCCATTGCGGTCCTCCAGGGCTACCACGGAGCGAGTCGGGCCGACGCTGTGAGCTTCATTAAGAGGCTGGAATGTGTTTTTTAATGAGAATGTCGTCGATCCGGCCGATTTCACTTTGAATAACTACAAGCTGGCATTCGGTGAGGAGGACAACTTCAATATCGAGACTGAGCAGGAGGAGAGCGTTGAGGACGACCTCTTCGATTTGGACGGGCAATTGGCCATCTTCAACGCCCAAGTTTCTGAGTCACCGTCAGTATGCAAATCGGGGACACCTCTCGCTATACCCACCTCGGGCAGCCCCACGCCAGTGTCCTCCTCAGCGCCTGTCAAGAGGGGTGGGTTGTCCCCTCTGAGGAGTTCGCTGGGGGAGCCTATTCGTCTCACACTGTAGCCCGAACGTCTTCGACCCGGCCGTCCAGTTCCTCCGGACCATCCGCATCTCAAGGCTCCTGCGACTCCCTTCCACATGGGCGACAAACACACCTTCTCCACAGCCGAAGATTGGGGCCATGATATCGTGTGGCACCCAGACCATTTCCAGCCAGTCCTTCTCGACGGCGAATGGGCAGTGGCTGTGAGGGACGTAAGTGGAGGGTGGATATATGACGATCGTTGGGACCTCGAGACATTCAAATCTCGCGCCTACGATGCGGTTTTGGAGAGATTAAGTGAGGTCAATCGACGAAGTAAAGACGACCCTGCTCTGCGCGAATACGGGGACACGCTGTTCGATTTATTGCAGTCAAATAGATGGCTGGAAGTGTCCTCCACATTCTACACCCTTCAAGCAAGTGAGTTGGGAGTTGCCTGCGGGCACCCCGCCGACAGGAGTTGTGAAGCGCAAGTCTCGCGGAAAGGACGGCGAAGGGGATGGTGAAGGCGGTGGGCAACGAGGTACAGGAGGTAAAAGTGAACAGCGTTCAACAGAACAGTGGTCTCCGCGGCACGCAGGCAGTGGAGAGGGGAAAAAGGGCAGCCGGGAGAAGAAAAAGCCTCGCAGCGGAGAGAAGACAAAGCATCACACAGGAGACGGGCAGGGGTCCGGTGTCGACCGCGACGAGGAGGGTGGGGTTCTGGCGGTGCCATCCAGCACCTCAATGGAGATGGGGAACGACTTCAGGCCTGGGTGGATTACACGGCCTGGCCAACAGGACCCTGTGATTAGCTCCACCAGCGCAACACAGTATACCGATGCTGTTGGCGGGGCAGTTGTAGCAAAGAATGGAACTTGCTTCGCTCAGCTCCAAAAACGGTTGGCCGATTGTCTCGGATCTATCCGAACCTCGGAGATGACATCGTTGTCCGAAACTCGGTGCCTTGCGGGAAACGAGACGACAACATACCACGGATTCGGCAGCGACAAGCTCCAACCATGTTCGGTTTCGCCTCAAAATGAAGTTTGGATTAATCCGAACCCAAAAGTCAGTACCGTTGAGAGAGCACAGCAGTCTGCGGAATTCGAACGAGTGGTCCGGGTTTCCGAAAAACCTGGCAGCAAAATTCGGATTCATCCGAACCAGGAGGACGTGTCCGCCATGACAGACAACCGGTGTCAGGACACCGTCATGCTGTGCATGGAAGTCCACAAGGAGCTGCAGGCAGACTGTCGGACTGAGGGTGAGTTAGCGACCAGTTTCAATATCGAGCCCCGCACACTTGGAGCCGAATGCCTGGTGACGGTACGCGCTGAGTTAGCAGTCTTAAGCGACTCTCTGGTGAAAGCGGACACGTCATGGCCATTGGAAACTGCAGTGGCTCGGATGAATCCGAACCAGGGCCATGTGAGCATGTCCCTCCCTGGTGCAGCTTTGGAGACGACCGTAATTTGGATTCATCCGAGACACATGGACGAAGGACTTGACGGTTGTCGACTTCTGACGACTTTGGACAAGGACGACTCCGCCGACGACCGGATTGATCCGACACTCGGCGACGTCGGGATGGAGCAACCAGTTCAGCCAGCAGACGACGACCCCTTGTACTCCGACCTTCACGACGAGGCGATGGGAGAGGACTTTCCGAAGAAGTCCTCTGACGCTGTTGGAGATAGATTTCTCTATTTGAGTGACGACGATAAAGGCACAACACACGAGGACAAGAAGTTAAAGGGGGGAGAGGTGTTGTTGGACATTCATGGGACCTTGAGCACAACACAATGCGACATAGTGGCGACGGAGGAAACCCAACTTGTCGATGTTGTGGACGTCGACGCTCTTTGTCCGGAGACGGACAGACTAAAATTGCCCATCGCCGACGTGGAGGATTTCTGCCATCGGGATGGGGACGAATTCATGCCATCACTGGTCATCGACGCCGACATCTCGAACCTGTCAAGTTTCCCTGTGAGTTTGGAGCACGTCGTCGCCGAGTCGACGTGCACGGGGGCGCCAATCGTAATGGGGCTGCCATAGGTGGGCTCTGGTGACGTCGAAGCTAAGCCTGGTGAGCACTGTCTTCCTTTGCTTGCTTCCCGCTCGTCAGCCCGTCCGTGAAGTGTTGTTTGCTTCGTCGATTTCGGGGAGGTGTATACGCGGCCGCCAACTGGATTTGACAATGTGCTTCGTTAGGTACTGTTTGCTTAATTGCTCTTGCGAAGTTGTGTTGTTGATCTCCTGCTGAACTGTCTGGGTGGCTATTTCTTGTACAGGTCGAGGAGCTCGTGGACAAACACACATGTTGCAGGAGTCGCCTGCCCTCGCCAGGTTGTCAGTCCTAGTTGCGGGAGGCACTGGTCGTCGCAATATCACTAATTTGTTTCCTGGTGAGACTAAACCTCGGGGCCCTCCCAAAAGGGTTGTCGTGCCCGTATTGAGCCCTCGCGCTAGACTCGTTGCAGAGGCAGCGGGTGTTGCCGAAAAAGACTGCAAGGAATTCCTTCTCGAGGCTTGCAGGGATATAAAGAAGGACAGTGCTAGTTTAGAATCAGCTGTGTGTGGAAGGTCCAGAAGTAGGGGTGATGTTATGCGTGAACTTTTCGGGCCACAGAGTAGCGGTTCGTCGGACCATGGCCGCTAGGATGGCATTTTCTCATAGTGCCCCATCCTTTGTGCTTGCTGTGTGCTGCGGGTGTTTGTTGAACAGGGTTTCCTCGAGATGGAAGAGCAGTCCTTGAAGACGTTATCTGCTCCCGGTTGCCGCTCACTATGATCGTCGCGCGTTTGCCGACGGGCAATTTACAGGTTTCCGTCAAGGATATCGTCGCACTCGTGGATGGATCCGGGGAGCTCAACGATGAGGTCGTCAATTTCTACATGGCGATGCTACTGGACGACTGCGGCCGGACTGCTGCTACCAAGAAGACATACACCTTTAACTCTTTCTTCGCCTCTACACTGCTTCTGCGACGTCCAACAGTTGTTTGCAGATGGGCTAAAGATGTGGACCTCCTATCTCATAACCTCGTCTTGGCACCAGTGCACAAGGACGGAGAACACTGGAGCCTTTTGGCCATTGACTTCTCTAGACGTGTTTTGGAAATCTATGATTCTTTCTCGTGTTCGTCATCCAAAGATGACTTCTACTCCGTACTTTTAGATAAATCTGTTAAATTTTTGAACACGGTGGCAGGTGCCGCCGGTGATAGTCGCACTTTCGACCACTTCGCTCGCGAGGTCAGCGTGAAAGGTGTCCCTCGGCAGCACGACGGGGCTAGTTGCGGGGTGTTCATGTTGATGTCCGTTTCCTGTTTAGCAAGAGGTTTACGTCCACCTTTTGGTTTCTCCCATAGACACATCTCCTCTATCAGAGCTAGACTAGCTGTGGCGATTTGCGATGTTGGTAGGTAAGCATCTATCTTTTTGCTGATTATGTAGTGTAGAAGGGTTGACTCAGAATGTTCTTCTCCGGACGAAATTTGTTCCTTTTCATTTTTTCCGAGAGAGACTGGTGGGTGTTCTCGGTTTGGTTTAGAGCAGAACTGGCTGTCACTGCCAGGATATCTCCGGGTGAAATTGTCATGTCCCCGGCGTGTTTGTCGTCGATAATATTGTTCTTCTCATTGGCTCTCAATTCTCGCGAACGTCCCCGTTGTTGGGGCGCCTGTTTCGTGATTGGCTTTCTCACTTTCGTCATTTTGTGTCTTGTGTGGTGTGATGTTCTGCCCGCATACTCGGATGCATTTGAACTCCAACTATCTCTATGATTTTCTGCCTCTCTCTCGAACCTTCCCCGTCGTCTACACTCATCTATTCATTTTCACTTTGAATGTCGTGAGGCATCGCAGAGAAGAAAATACAACACAAGGGTCTCTTTATACATTGATGGTCCGTCTGGCCCTCCGCGCTGGGTGCTTTTTGGTTCCAACGTTGAATGTTGTCAATTATTTGGCCCATCAAAGATCCCCGTCTGCACGAGCATTCATACATCCGGTTCCTATTCCATTAGACAAAACACTGAAAAATTGAATGCGTCGAGGGAGGGAAAACCCGAAAGGCGATGCCGATGGGTGCTCCAACGTGACGAAATTTGAATTAAGGTAGCACGGCTGAAAGAAACAATTGCATGATTGGGCAAATTTTGATGTAAACAACCACCATAAATTTTATGAAAAATAGAGAACGGCTGGCCAGAGAGAATCCTGACCAACGTCCAGAGAATATGTCGACGAGGGACCGATTTTTGACATTGTCTGTTGCTATCTTGCCTTTCTTTCACTGTCTTTTGTTTTTTCTTTCTTTTTGCGTCTTTAGTGTTTGCACATCATGATTCTCGTTCTACGAAATCATTACCATACGCATCCCAAATGACAAAACCGAAACAACATCACAACCGTTGCATTGCGCGAAAACCGCGGAGAAAGCCATTAGAAAAACTCAATTTTATCGATCAAATGAATACAGTTCATGTAACGTAACCGAATACAGTCCATATCAATCGCCCAAAGCCAGAGCACAATGGGATCCGCAATGTTAACCATAGTATGGAACTAAAAACAACCTTATGGAAGAACATTATCATCGTCACCGACAAAGAGTAGAGAGTTATGTTGACCGGTGACACCGCCCTCAGAGCTCTCTCTTTCTCTCTATCTATTTATCTATCTATCTATCTATCTATCTATCTATCTATCTATCTATCTATCTATCTATCTATCTATCTATCTATCTATCTATCTATCTGTTTGTCTATCTCCGCAGTCCCAAAATCACACACATGTATTATTTGTTTGTTGGATTGCTCTCAGTTTTATTCTGAAAACCCTACGCACTCACTCGGCAGTTCTCGCATGCCTATATGGCAAAGATCAGAACCAAGAACCGGCCCGTAAAGATATTGCAATGATATCACAGCGCACGACTGATATAAGCACAATCAGATTCAGATGCACTCTCTCTCTCCCTTTGTCTATCTATCTATCTATCTATCTATCTATCTATCTATCTATCTATCTATCTCCGGAGTCCCAAAATTACACACATGTATTATTTGTTTATTGGATTGCTCTTAGTTTTATTCTGAAAACCCTACGCACTCACTCGACAGTTCTCGCATGCCTATATGGCAAAGATCAGAACCAAGAACCGGCCCGTCAAGATACTGCAATGAAAGCACAATGCACAACTGATATAACCACAATCCGATTCAGATGCACTCAGTGCATCTGAATCGGATTGTGGTTATATCAGTCGTGCGCTTAGTCAACCAATGTGACAACCGGCAACAAACTCCATATGAGCTCTCTCTCTCTCTCTCTCTCTCTCTTGTGTTGACCGCTGACACCGCCCTCAGCTCTCTCTCTTTTTTTTTTTTTCTCTCTCTCTCTCTCTC